TAATTCGTGCTGGGCGTGGCCAACTCGGGAGCCAGCCGGAACTCCGTTCCTGTGCGTTCCTGTCCAAAAATAGCCCTGATGACCAGTATAGCAGGAGATCACTGGCACCACCCCCCCACATGGTGGCAGATGCCAATGGCTGAAAGCCACCAGGTGTTCCATGGGGGAGGGTGGCCCGGCCACCAAGTTGTGTGCTTAGTGGCAGGACTGGGCCCCCGATGTGTGGAAGAGACTGCCAAAGAACGCCCCCATGGAACTAAACACAGCTGCCACATAAGGGGTGCAAATATGGCAGTGGGCCCCAGCAGGCCCCAGCAGAGGATCTTCTGTGCCCTCCCACATGCAAATGCCAATCCCCACAGCCACCCGGGATGGAATCCCCAGAGCTACAGGCCGAGAGGAGAGGCGTGAGACCTCACCTTGGAACCCAGAGCCGGAATGAGTGCGGCGGCGGCTCCCAATTTACCAGTGAGGCTGCCGTTGAAGCAAAGCGGTTCTCTGCTTGACTGCTGCAGTTGAGGTTGTTCAGCTGTGCTGAAGCCACAATCGGAGTGGCTCTGTCCGCTCCCCCCAAGCAGCCTCCTGTTCCCTTCATTGCACCAGTTGCTCACAGGCAGGATAAGAGCCCTGTTAAAGCCCTCACTTCTATCCACAAGTCGACTGCCTGCCGGACTGCATTGCAGACTGCTTTAGGGCTGCGTTTCAGAGTTTAAAGAACCAGCTTCCTCATACCATTTGGTCATTCATTACCTCGGGACTTCCCTCACTTGTTATAATTAGAAAAGAGCAAACACACAGATCTCTCTCCCTGAGAAACTCTTTTCTTGGCTGGGAGGGTGGGGTAAAAATCCAATAAATAAATAGCTAAATTTCTGCTTACTTTGAAAATTCCTGGTTATGTTGCTTTGAACAGGAACCACCAAATCCATCTTCAAATGAAATTCATGGGGGGAGGGGCAAATCCAGTGTCCATCTGTCCCCCCCCCGAAGTCTTACCAACTTTTATCTACTGCACAAAAAGTTTCTTTATTAGTCCTGGACAACCAGAGGGAAATATGAAAGGCAAATGACACCAGCAGCACAAATGAAAGGGTGCTTGAACAGTTGTTGGTATAGTTCACGTTCTGCTTGCCAGTTGCAAGCAGGGAGTCAGTTTTTCATCAAGCAGTGACTTGAGCCACTTTTCTGTATATTCGTACAATACAGTGCAGCTGGCAGCTTTTCACACATGCATGCTCTCCCAAAGTTCTAAGGTTCCCCTCCACCTGTTATTGCTACCTGCTGGTTTGTGATCAATTGTCTGCAAAGTGAGCAAAGGAGACGGTCAGATAGTGGTTATAAATAAATAGGTTTTTAAAGAAGGAATGTTTATTGTCATCTAAGCCTATGTTATTTTGCACTTGTGGGACTTGTAATCCCTTCCACGTGGTTTAGTTCTCTAACCCAGCCATCCGTTACCGGGGGCAGGGGGGGAATAATTTCATGTCATGCAAAGATGTAAAAGCAGCAGCAAGACAGAAGGAAATGAAATCCCAGAACTACTGTGCAGCTGCTTGGCAGGTGCTCAAGTCAGGTGATAGAAAGATGAGGAAACCCAAGTAACCGCAGCTGTCAAAAACGGGATGCTCACCTGCCAAGCATGTTTGCTGCAAAGTTTGTGGGCGGCATCTCTTGTAAAAACGTGTTCGTATTTACCACTGGTGACATGTAAGGATGTGCATCTCATTAAAACTCTTTGCTTCCTTCAGATTTTTTTGGCTGTTTTCTTTCCCTTCCATTGAAACCTCCACACGGAATTCAAAATCCTGGTTTCATGGCCGGGGGGGGGGGGGAACGGGACTGTTCCTCTCAGTGTAAAACAAGCTTTTCTTCAGCAAATGTTGGGGTGAGATATGTTGCCATTTTCTCATGGGACTCGAAAAAGTGGAGCATGAAATCTTCAGAGCTTTCTGGTAGAACCAGCCCTACTGAATTCAGTTGCTAATCGTGGCATTCACTCCACATGCTTCAGCGTGACACCCTGAGTGTTGATTGACACAGCCTTTTTCACAGGATCATGAGCTCATCCATGCAAGGGTAGCACTGTGAACAAGCTGTGTGAAACTAGCAATTGCAGACTGGCCTTCATAGTGATATTGCCACATACTACCTCTCAGACACTGAGGAAATTTTGTCCTATCAGACGTGCTATTCCTTCTCACACACCAGGTATATTCTTCAGATTCATGGATATTGACTAATTCAAATATGCATTTGGTGTCGTGGTTAAGAGCAGCAGACTCTAATCTGAAGAACTGGGTTTGATTCTCCACTCCTCCACATGCAGCCAGCTGGGTGACCTTGGGTCAGTCACAATTCTTTTAGCGCTCTCTCAGCCCCACCTACCTAACAGGGTGTCTGTTCCGGGGAGAGGAAGAGAAGGTGAATGTAAGCTGCTCTGAGATTCCAAGTGAAGGGCAGGGTATAAATCCAACTCCTCTTTCTCCTCCTCCTCCTCAGAATAATTGTGAACTGGCAATATTCTTCTCTTGCCATCATGGCAGCAAAATTGATTTTTAATACTTTTAAAAATGTCAAGCTTGTCCCCGTCCTCAGGGATCAAGTGAAGTCACTATCTATGCAATAAATCCATACAAAGACAAAGGACCAGTTAAAACCGTAGTAAGATATATTTCCACCTTTTCTGCCATGTGTTTG